AGATCTACTCTTCACAACAAGTAAGACTTCAAAGAACTTCAAAACTCACAACTAAACGTGAGTGGGCTTATAACCTATTGAAGAAGAAGCACTATGAAGTCACAATACTTAGCATTAGCAAGGTTATATACAAAGAGAATATAAAATTAGAGGTCTCTTACTTCTAACATCCGTTACTTATAGGTAGTGGCTGTTGCTTTTATGAACAACTTCCATCCTTTGATGAATACATCCATCCAACATTCTACCAAGACTATCTATTGCTATTTTATCTATAAAAAGAATATACTTTAAGCATATTTTCTATATCCTTAAGATCCTTTGTCCGTTCATTTATTTTATTTCTTGGCCTTCTTATATACCAAGAGCCAATCCTTTGACTAATAACAACTTATCAAAAGTAACATCCTCTACAATATAACTTATTCTACTTTCACTTTTACTTATTTATTTTAACAACTTTAATAATATTCTTAGACATGAATACTATACTTTATGAAATGAAAAATGTATTTCTTTAAGGTAGCTATGAAAGCATCAATAATAATCAATTAATTAGAAGGTCTTTTTGTCTTTATATAGAACATTATTAATAATTCAAAAGACCTATCGACCACCTTTGTGCATAATAAAGATCAAAGTTTGTTGTTAATATCATTTGATAGATCTCAAACTTCATCAACTTATAAAGAAATGATATAATTTTTTATAGAACATGTTACCTAGAAAAAAAAGGTAAATAATAGATAGTTATATTCATTAGTATTTTTACTTAGATAAATAAACAAAAATATAAGTATATTAGATTAAATTATTGTTATCTTATTACAATTTTTTTTTAAAAGCTTTGTACACTTTACACATGTTTATAAGTGATTGATAAGTTCACAACTTAGCCAACAAGTTGGCCACATTTTGCACATTTTGCTACTTATGTTATAAGTTGGTTGTTTAGCATACATATTAAAAGCTTGCTTTTCAAATTAAATATGTATCTTGCAAGTTTAACACGTGTTATATGGTCTATGGAACATTGTCAAGTAATGTTTTAGTAGATAGTATATAATAGAAGTAAGAGTGAAGTCTTCTCCATTCTTCTCAATGCCTTTCTTATATTTTATCTTTATTTTAACAATAGATATTTTAATTTTAAATTTAAATTTATTATTTATTATTTTTTATATTTTAATTTTAATGAAATAAATATATATATATATATATATATATATATATATATATTTTGTGGTTTATGTCCTTGACATACTTAGAGGCAATTAGGTTAGTTGATTTAGTATTTTTTTCTTAATTGTAAGAATTAAAATTTAATTATTGAGATTAATATTGATATTGGCCTTTTATTCATATGTATTATTTATTATAAACCTATAAATTTTAATTATTAGATAAGAAAATCATAAAAAAGAACATCATGTCTTTTTAGTTATTTATGTAGAAAATATAAATTTATTTTATTACTATAAATAATCATTAATATAAAATAATATATAATTAATTTAATATTATCATCTTAAAAATATTTAAAATAATTAATTATGATTTATTAATAATTTATTAAGAAATATTTAGAAATTTATTATAATATATTTTAAAATTTTGATGAAGTAATTGTACCAATTTGTGAAACTACAATAAAGAATTTGAGTAATATTTGAAGGCCTTACAGGGTTCTTTTGCTAATTGAGTGTTTTTAAATACCATGGTGTAGTTAGAATTACAAAAATAGATTTTTATATGTAGAAAATAGGAGGACCAACATCTAGTATAATAGTTGTAGGAAGAGAGATCCACATATTTTTTTATAGATTGTAGCACCTTGGATGTAGATAGAAGAATAAGACAATGGCCTTATGGCCTTTTTAGGATATTTTATTTCAATTACTTTGTGAGCCTTGGTGAGGCTCAAATTCTTGACTTCTTAAAACAAGTTATTTTTTAAATAAAATCCATTCTCTTATTTTTTTATTTTTCACTTTTTATTTTTAAATCTTCATAATTTACTTATAATAACTTAAATTAATATATATTTTATATTATTAAAAAGATAAAAAATAATTATACTATTTTTTATTTTTTATTTTTATTTTTTACTAAATAAAAATCTAATAAATAGAATATGACTAGTTTTAGAATATGTAATTTTTTGATTTCAATTCTTTTACCTGATTTGTCCTTCTTCATCTTTGTTTCATGTTATTTATATCTTTCATTTTACACCATTAATTAGAAGCAACTGTTAATTGAGACCATCTTGTAATTTGAGCTAAGAGGCGAATTTTACCTTTACATATTAGAAAGGTAAAAAAAAGACCAAGACAAAATTGTATAAAAACATTTAGATGGATATAAAAAAAAACTTATAAGACATAAGCAAGGTCTTTAACACTTCTTTTGATCTTTGGCTCCAAATCTTTTATTTACATTGGTTTTTTTATAATATAAATATAAAAAAATAGAATTTTATTATCTAATCCACTTTAATGTAGTAAGTCAAATTATAATAATTATCTATATTTTTTATTTTTTAAAATTTTATATTTATAAATATTTTTTTATCAAAATATTTATATATTCATAATACGTAATTTTAATAAAATGATAAATAATTAAATAAAAAATCTAAAGTTGTTTAGAAAACATATTTTGTATCTCTAAGAAGAAAATAACTACATAAATAGTTCAACAATTTCTAAATATTTCTAATTTTTACAAAGAATAATTTTATTTGTAATAAAAGTAGCTAAAGGATTTTACTTGACATTAGAAAAACATGAATATTTGAATATGACAATAGATATCTTTATAATTACTTTAATTAATATAATTTGTAAGAATAGTATTTCTTTAAAATACAAGAATTTAATAATTCAATATCAAACTAAAAAGTTCTAGAGTCTACATATTATTTTAAAAAAACAATAAATCAGTCAATAATCATATGTAAATATAAAAAATTTGTATCACTAGTTCTAAGTGATATCAATCTTTATAAATTGGAACAACAATCTAAAGTTGTAAGATAAAACAAGAATTATTTTTAATATGTTCATAGCTACCAACATGGAAATTATAGTAGAATTTACAAAGATTGTAAGAATCATCAACGTTATCATAGGATTTATACAAACGAATAATCAATGTCATGGATAAACTCTATACTTATCAACAAAAACAGAAAATCGTTCCCCATGAAGGAAATATCAACAAGATAACTCTCCCCTCAGAACACAAAAGAAGAAAAAATCCCGGACGACAAGGACTGCATGAGGGCAGAGATGCGCAGACCTGCAGGCGGGGACAGGCTCACAGGATGGGGCTGCCGCGAGGGAGCTGGGGGTGGCAGCTGCGGAGTGGTGGAACCAAACCGCCGCAGCCAAGAGCACCCAATGATACGACGCCTCCAAAGATGGGTGTCTGACAGCAGAACACAATGGCTTTTTGCGGGAGAGGAAGCCTGATTGGCGTGGGTGTGCGTTACTTGGCGGGATGAGCGATGCTTGCAATCGCAAAAAGTGAAAAACCAACACACCCACACACACCTTCCCGACGACGACACACCGTCACCACGGGCCCGCGGGCTTCACACACAGTGCACCGAAATGGGGACTTGGTGACTGTGTGTGTTCTTTTAGGAAAGTAAGGGCTTTCACAGTTGGAGACTTGAGCACAGCTACTATTTTGCATCAGCCGAAATCCACGCTGTTCCTTCATGTATCTCTACTTGTGCACTTCATTCGGTCGCCTACTGTTGTTTTGTTTTTTGACAAATCCGTCATCGTTTTCTTTGCGACGTTTGGATTAGGATGTGTTTTTTAATGTAAAATACATGGTTTTGACAAAGGCGTTTTTGGTGGGTTCAAGTTTAGATGGGTGCTTGTCAACAGCTTGGTCCTCTTGGATTTTAAACTTCTTAGAAATGATGTTTAGGAACCTCGGATTTTATGTATGGATGTTTATTTTGAATTTTCGTAAATAAACATCATTTCGTAAATAAACATTTTATGCACCACACTAATTTATGTATGGATGTTTATTAGTGTGGTGCATATTTTAGAACCTTTTAATTTTTATAATAGATATAATGATTCTTATATATATTTATATTTATATACGTATGTATATATTTATTGTTCGTTTTCAATGATACCACTGGTTCATTTTGCTCTAAAACCATTACAAATCAAACTATTGACCAAAACATGGAAAAGGAATGATAAAACGACATGAATTCACACACTTTTTTGTATTTCACATAATCGATTTTTAGATGATAATCCAAAACGATTCAGGATTCTTAATTAACAAACAAAAAAAAAAAAAAAAAAAACTCAACCAACATCTAAATTAGAGAGAGAGAGAAGAAAAAGAAAGATCATAAAAAATGTAATGCTACACATAATTATACACAATCCATTAAAATAAAAAAACAAAAAAACCAGTCTAGAAATTTAGTTTTAGATTAAAAAACTACAATTACGTGTAGTATGAGGTGGACAAGAAACTATTTGACTACGTCTACTATTTTCTTTCATGTAAATCCAAAAAAAATGTTTAGTCACAGTGATTAACACAGTGGAAATGGTCCAAAAAGGATATGGTCCCAAAAGGAAATGGCATCACTTTTTCATCCTCTGGAGCTACGAAAATTTCATTGATTTTTCCCCTTCAACATCACACATAAAGCTTTAATTGGAAATTGTGAAAATGCTGATGCCTGCTCGCGGCGAATCGCGGCGACTGGAGGCGACAGGAGAGAGAGAGAGCTAGATAGAGCGGGGAGTGATGAGAAACTGGGAAATGGGAAATGAGAAATGACATGGCATGAGGATATGGAGATGGATAATAGAACTGCCAGAGCCGGATGAGAACTCCGCAGCAGGGCAAGCTTGGGTTGGTCCGTTGATCGTCATGGAAAAGGGTTATCAGCGACGCCCTGCCCTGGACCCTTCCCGTGACGTAGACTACTAATGACAAGATGTCTTATATGCATTTTTAGAGACATGATGTCACTGCCTACTGTCGCTACTTGGCCGAGTTGAAGCTTTTCGCCTTCCCTTGTCGATGATTCTAGTCTGTATCAAGTTTTTTCCCCACTACCTTACTGTCATGTATCTGCCCACACATGAAGCACCAGGAGTTCCAGCTCAAAATGGCTTTTCATTGCTTCGATTGAGCTGATTCAGGCTTTGAAGCAGTCAGAGCAGTCAAAGGTTGGGGGATGCTGTAGTTTTTGCACTACGATTGTTTTGCTTGGGTAGAATTTTCGATAGCGAGCGAGAGATAGATTGAGAGAGAGAGAGAGGTTATAGAGTGTTAAGTTGCAGGAGGTTTGTGGTTAGGAGACGGTGCTTGCTTGCGCTGGGTAGTGGAACCTGTGGTCAGCTTTAGTATCGTTTCGACCACACTGACGCATGTTCATTTGAAGTTATATTCCTGTTGTGCTACACCGGCTTGCTCGAGACCTGTATCATGAGGAAATTACGAAGGAAGAGCATGCGTAGAATTTCTTTTATAATCGAACTTGTAACGAAGGGTTTGTGGTCGTGATTTTGGTGACTGAAGAACTAATCCTTGGAAGAGTGGCAGTTGCATGAAACTTGGGTAGTTGGCAGGAGTGGTGTAAGTGTACATTATTTTGGAGACGATGGCAGGAGGCGGAGGAATCAAGGGTGCTGTTAACAACAACGTCGCCACTGCAATGGCGATCGCAGGACGCGATTCCAGAGCATGCGACGTGTGCGGCTTGCACCGGGCGCGCTGGTACTGCAGTGTAGACAATGCGCATCTGTGCCGCCGGTGCGATCAGAATGTACATTCAGCCAACGCCCTCGCTTTGCACCACGAGCGAGTGCGGCTGGATCTGCAGGGCAACGCCTTGCACACTCCGAGGAAGGCTCTGAAGGGTAATACTTCCGCACCCCAAAATTCTCTCAAGAGTGCGGCGCAGATGGATCACGCTGCACCCTCACGCAAGAGCTTTCGTCAAAGTCGGCGTCCAAACACTGATGCGTCGCCTCCTAACTCTCATAAGATCAACCGTCGTGGAAAAGAGAAATCTGATAGCTCGCACGAGGTGCCCAACTTCGTGACTGTGAATATACATGAGTCCCCGTTTTCCTTCACCCACGACAGCGCCACGGCCATGTCCATTGCGGAGTATTGCAAGGGCCGAGCTGCCGCCGCTGCTGCTATGGCCGCGGATGTGGACACAAATGAGGAGCTCAGCAGTGGAGACTCTGACCAGTATTTGGTGCCGAATGGCTACTTGGACGATTTCGAAAGTGCTACTGTTCCAACTCCGGGATGTCGACAACAGGGATGCGATCCTTCTGACGATGCGGCTTCTAATGACGCGCTTGACGATGGAGAAGGCAAAGACCAATACGATAGTGGTGCTTTCGATCAAACTAACGGCTTGGAGTTCAAGAGGGGAAGCGATCAGGACCGGATCAACGAGAAGTATCGCTTGGGTTTTTCGGAAGTCGTTGGTATGCGGGATGCGGATGACTTTGAGGGAGAAAGTGGGTACACCGAGGGCGAGGGCGAAGTCGAAGATGAGGCTTACGACCAGAGCTGTGCCTATGGTGACCCCGAGAGGCAGCGGGTGAGTCCGTTTGTGAAAGATTTGAAGAGCGAATACGACGTGCTGGACAGATTAGATTTGATCAAGAGAGAGGTAGCTGCCGTATTGCGGTGCTCCCTGGAAGCTCAAGAAAAGAAATCGGCTCCGCCGCCGTTACTAAGACTGAACTTCGACGACGTATTGTCAGCGTGGTCGGATCGCAGTCTCTGGACAGATGGGAGGAGGCCCCAAACTGTGCCGGACGACTCCTCCGAAGCTGTGGTAAGATAGTCTTTGGTATAACCAGCACGCAGGTAGAATCCTAGGCTTGTTGAAAGTTCTTCCTCAGGGGCTTCAAAGGGTGAAAATGAGTGATCCTATTATTTACATCGCCTTCCTGTGTCACCTGAGATACATTCAATATTCCTGTATTTTGCAATATTGGTGAACGAGTTTTCTTAACCATAGATGGTCACAGGCTCATGCTTATCTCTTAGGTGGTAGGTTTTTGAATGTTTCACTACTGAGGTGTCACACCTGCCAGAAAAAAACCTCAATCTTTTTTCTGAAACAAACCCAAATCAAAGCACAGAGTACACCCTAAGATCTGGTTTTTTAATATTGCTTCTGGGTCGTATATTAGTGTTTTAAAATTGAACATCTCAATACTAACATTGGATGGTGACGAAAAACAGGATTAGTTACGGAAGCTTGCCTCCAAAGATGACGTAGGACTTTGGATCCTAGCGAATGCTGAAAAGTGCTTTGTACTACTGTAATCTTTCCATAATAAACTGTACCTAGGCTTTCAGGTTTGTAAGATTGTTCGAGTTTTTGTAGGGAGGAACGGACGTAGGTTTGGTGCCAGATATTAATACTCAATACGCTCAAGGAGCAACACTAGCAGCCGGCGACAAAGGAAGAGAGTTCCGTGTGATGCGTTACAAGGAAAAACGGCGAACTCGCCTCTTCTCCAAAAAGATTCGTTACGAAGTGCGCAAGCTCAACGCTGAGCGCCGCCCTCGCATGAAGGTCAGTGGCAACCAATATTTCTTATCTTAGCGACATGTCATTCTATGCAGTCCCACCCTATGCTCTACTCTTCGCATTGTTGCATGGCCCATCAGTTAAGCAGCATTACATCCCTTTGCAGCATTTATTAAGATGTCGCTCATTCAAGTCATGCCAATGTCTGCAACGCCTAACTTTGGAATGAAATGACAGGGCCGATTCGTCAAGCAAACACCAGGTGGCTCATGACAAAACGTCGTTCCTACATGAGGTGATACAGATTGTGTGACGACTACCTCAAGCATTAACCAAAATGAGAGCACTTCTAGCTTAATGCTGGACGTGAATGGGACCCCTGCAAACAATCCAAGCTCGCCTACTAGACAAAAATATAGCTGGTTGATTAAGCTATTTTTCAAGTGGTGCACACCCTCAGCACCGTCCATATTTATATCATGAGGAGGATCTAGATCGTTCCAATTTTCCGACCTGCTAGTAGGAAGTTTTGATTCTAAGAGCATGGATCCAAGCAGGCGATGGAGTAGTAGTTTTTCTAGTGATATGGCTGGTGATGTGTAATACACCAGGTTCCAGCCCAGTAGGTAAAGAAAGAGCTGTATACAAAAGCTGTTATACATCATGAGGTGGTGGGTCACAATCTTTTCTTTTCTGCTTTCAGTCTCACTGTAGTTGCTAGCCCTAACTGCTCATTGGCCTCTCTGAGAAGACGCATTTTTTAATGCTAAGGGTCGGTTATTTCACTCTGTGAGTAATCATATAATGTAGGGTTTAGATTCACCTGCAACGCCAAAACTAACCTTTGTAATTTGTTCCAAAACACTTATGTGAACTGCTTTTAATGCTCCATATTACTCAAAGACATAAACCTAAACAAGGATGATTATTGCTAGACATCAAGATTCTAAAAAGTTTTCAATCAGAGAAAATAAGAAAAGTATTTACAAGACTATCAATGGTCTTGATCTTTCTACTATACATAATGGATAGTATCAAAACTATGTAAAAGCTTCCTAAAGACCATAATGTTTCTAAGTCATAGGTTCAAGCTATACATAACTTTTAAAGTGGCTTTTTTGAAAATCTCAAAATTTAAGGGACGTTTATAAAACCACACAAAGCATTTATTTATTTAATTTTTTTTGAAAATATTTTTTTTGGGTACTTAAAAAAAGATATTACTTATTTTATTTGTTTCAACATACTTATATTTTATAAAGTAACTCAAGAATTTGTGACAATATTTTTCTCTTCTAAAAAGAACGTTTTTTAAGTAGTAGTGAAATTCTTAATTGCTTCATAAGTTGATTAGTTCCAAAACTTTCTAAGTAGTATTTCATGCAAATCCTAATCTAATCTATATACAAAAGCAATTGTTAGGTTCTTTAAGTTCTAATTATTAATGTTTTTTGTAACAAAGAAGTGCTTTAAAGAGCTTAACAACAATCTAGATATTAAAACTATTAAATATTATTATTAAAATATCAAATATATTTATATTAGAATTATCTTTGTTCCAATTCAGATAATTATTTCAATTTAAAAATAAATCTAAAATTAAAAATAAATATTTATTATCAATCTTGCTAATAATATTTAGTTTCTATGTTTACTTTAAATAAAAAATGTAGTAGAATCAATTCATTTTGATTTTTCTAACATTTCATTCCATAAATAATCCAAATATTTTTTTAATAAAAAAATAATATAAAACATTTACTTATTTAAAAATTTAACTTTTTGTTTTTTTTACATTTTCAGTGTGCTCTATTTTATCTTTATTAATTAATTGCATAAATAAAATAATAATCTAATAAATCACATAACATTTTTTAAATAATTACTTGCAAATTCTAAAAACTTTAATCATGTTTTACAATTTTAAAAATTATCTAATAGATGACATTTTTCATCTTTTTAGAATTTATCTAGTAAATTTCACTTGAACTGATGTTTTCTAACGTACTACTTAAGTTGAGAAAAATACATATTTTTTTATATTTATGTAGAATCTTAAATCTATGAGCTTTTGTAATACATAAAAAATATGTTGATTATATTTTTTATGTTAATGACACACATAAATATACCGTTCAAGTAAACAAAATAATAATAATAATAATAATAATGTAAAAATTCACTAAAAAACATTAATTGTCAAGTACAAATCTCATTTTGGATCAAATTTTGGTTAAAGCACACAAATGACAATTAAGGCACATAAACTATTTGTAAATAATATTTAATGTAAATATAGATGCAAGAACTATGTTAAATTTTATAAATAATATGTCGTGTCTGACTGGACTCCAGTTTGTATCACAGGCAAGATGGTGCTTAGGACAGGTTGAGTAAATCGTCAAAAACTGAAAATATTGAGACATTTTTGCTTAAAGCTCAAATTGCAATAGGATTTAAGTGTATGGATTAAAAACTGCTCAAGTTACATATTTGAATATCGTTGCTGATGAGAACATGTGGTAGTAAACTCAAAAAATTATTTAATTCATTCTGATGGATACCGTCTCGTATAACACTTGATTAGCTTTTAATGCAAGCTTCATCATTTTGCCCAATTTTAGAATTGCCTAGGGTCTGAACAGTTGAAACTTTGTGGCTCCTTCGCCCACCAGATAGGCAAAGTGTTGTTACACCAACGACCAGGTTCACGAAAAGAGTGACCACTCCATGACCCAAGTTGCATGTTTAATATTCGGCGTCCTACTCAATTGCATCCAGATCTCATCATAATGTTTGCAATGAAAAAACTTTCGACTACACAATGTACTTAACTTTGATTGCAACCACTTATGAACCCTTGCATAGCAGTCACCCACTACAAAAGCAGAGTCTTCTGAGTACTTCTATGGTCAAGTTATTAAAGACTAGTCTTTTGAGCGAACATGGTGAACCGTTTAGTTGCAAGTAAGAAACACAAGTTGCGATGATCGGGTTGTGCTACGTGAGAGCAACCACACCACCTGCTTTTGAGACTTTGATAAAAACATCTTCCAAAGTGGTATCACTGAGGCCCCAGGCTTGAATGTGCAACCGTTGCTTAGCTTGCTCCACGGTCATGAACACGTCCGCCACGCTAACTTCAGCCTTTGGTAACTCAAACTTTTGTGTGCCTCCGAGATCATACACTTTTCTAGTATCCTTCGATAATTTCTTGACCAAGCCAATTACTTCTGCTTCTTCGTTCACCGGTGTTGTGATCGTTAGCACGTACAGGCCTCCAAATCTGTGTCGAAGCTGGAATGTCGACCCCAATCAACGTCAAGCAAGTCGTCAACAAGGCGCTTAGTAAATTGACACAACCCAGTTCCATAAGAGACGCTTAAGACTCTTCTTGAAAGAGCACAAAATGGTTCACCTCTTTCGCGTTGCCAATGCATTGGAGCTCTCCGTTCACAAAAATGCCTACTCTATCACACAATGCTTCTGCTTCTTCCATAGAATGAGCTGAAATGGCAATTGCACACCGTCAACATAGAGTTGATCACTTCCTGTATGGCTTCTCTAATAAGAGCCAAACCATTGAAAACTTGTAATTTGTCTCTATCTGTCTTATAGCAAATCGTAGCATCAGAGAGCATACTGGTGAGGATGATGGCACGGTCTTGCTTAGACTCCCTTATCACACTCCACAGGTTGTACCGAGACGCTGGGTCAAGTCCTGTGCTTGGCTCGTCCATATATACCACCTGTAAATTGGTAACCACAGTCCACATGCAGTGCGATTATCCCCAATTTATTCTACTAGGACTTGTGCAAAATAGTAAGACTGCTCAACAAAAAAGAGCTTAACATCGTGAAGGAAAGATCAGTCATATATCACTATTTTAATGATTAAAATGCTTCCATACAAAAAAGCTGGTTTTCGAGCAAGACGAATATTCCAAAGCCTTTTTTCGACCATATTTTAGCTAGAAGAGGGCAGGTTTAGGTAGCACACTAAAGCAGCAAAAGCTCCTTAATGCTAAACGCGGAAACTCTCTCATCAAATATTACCCAGCGTATCATTGAAAACATCCAGGCCAGGTACCGTGGTAAACCCATCGTGCTCGATTATGGTAGGGACAGAGGAAGAAAAATAATTTTACTTGTGGATTTCCAATAAGAGAAATTGCAACACTCAGCCGGCGCTTCATGCCACCTGAGTATTTTCTACATTGTTTGTCTCCAATTTTGTTGTCAAAAAGGTTCACGCTTTTTAAAGATCTCTCCACCGCCTATAACAAAGGTCAGATCCAATATTATGATTAGTTGTCCGACGTACGAACAACTCAAATGGGCTTAGAAAAACACACAATCACCGTGCTGACCGAGCATCTTCTTCAGTACAATACTTCATCGACATTGAAGATAATATTTCACAGTTTGATTACATTATGGCAATGGCATACAAACTTACAGAATTGAGCTCTGCCCCCTTCAGGTTTTTTAAGCGGCCGTAGAAAAGGAGATGCTCATGGGCGGTCAGCTGTCCCCACAACAAACTGCACAATATACAGGTTATGTCATAAATTACGCCCAAACTGGCACTTTTCATGGTAAGAACTGATGACACTGCCCCTCAACACGTCATTCACACATAATCTGTTTTAAGGTAAGTCGGAGATTTTAATCAAGGATGAAGACACGTACTCGTGCTGAGGACAAACTCCCATACAAGAATAGATGCTATCCATTTCAGTCAGAATATTCATTCCTTGGATATATGCTGTGCCCGCCGTTGGCTTCAAAAAACCTATCATCTACAACCAAAGAAGGTAGAACATACGTAAGCCTCAGAACACTGGTACAGGAAGAGTTTATCAACACATAATGAAGGCACTAGAGAAAGCACGTATATTTCAGGAGATGTAGCACACCATGTTGATACTACTGGTTTTTCCTGCCCCATTAGGTCCAAGCATTCCAACGCATTCACCTCGAGCCACTGCCAGTGAGAATGTCCGGACAGCGTATTTGGGTGGATTCCCGTCTGTTGAGGGGTAAACTCGCTTAAGATTGTCGCAAATGATGGAATAAAGCTTGTCTGGTCTAGAACGCAACTCCTGAACCAACTTTTTCTGCATTCATATTGTCATGACGATGCATTAGCAGTTACCAACGTTGCCCTGCGTTTTAGAAGACAAAACAATTTCCTGGTTCTTAAGAAGTGTGGAGATGTGTGAACAAATTTCATGTAAAGAACTACGTAACTAGAATCGGGAAGTTCTAATTGACCTCACGAGCAACGTCAGGACGATCACCGGGAAGCTCATCATCTTCAGGATTGATGTGTGCCATTGCCTTAGATTCTTCGCAAAAAGGGGCACTCCCTTCCATCTTGCGCTTGAAGAAGTAACTTAAAAAGAAGAGGGGGTGTTTATTTATTCCACTCTCGGATACAGCCACTTGGTCCAAGTAAACGGTCAAAAGCATGAAAATAAACCACTCCATGAATAAAATGATTACTACGTCGCTCAAACCGTTCTTTGAGTCCGTCAGGTTGTCCCATCCCATGCCGTCCGTGTTCTGTTCAAATAAACACAAATCATTCACACTTATAGGAGTTATCCGATTGAGCGTTCTATATCAAAGCAGCATGACCAGCAAAACCATGCTTCGCATAGTTTTTACATTTGTCACGATTGCATCACTATACTCTAGTGATATAAACAACTTTCAATCACGTCAAAAGAGGAACAAATCGACTGTTTACATGATAAATGCCTATCTTAATGATTATTTGGTGCCCTTCTGCCACTCAATAAAAAAAAAAAAAAAAAAAAAAAAACATTGTGAATGTAGCTAATCATGTGCAATTCAGATGTTCACAGTGCAGCAAGGACTCAGCCGGTTGGAACTTGTCAATTACCGCGTACACAGCCGAGAAAGAATACTGTGAAAATTCAAAAAGGCCCCGATAGGTTGCAAACGCTGGTATTATCTCCAATGCAAGGACGAGACCTCCTGCAGTATCCACGATATTTAGCAGAACACATGCGGTTGCAGTGACAGCATAATATTGACCTTGGTGATCATTGCAACTGAGACGTGAAGAAACCAGTTAACTTAAAGTACTTTGGCATCAAATGAGAAGTGATAAAATGGCTTCACAAACACATACTGCTGGTTTGCTGGTCCACAACAAAGTTCTGGAAAAAGAAACCACCAAGCAAACCGGATCCAAACACGTACAGGTATCCAGCCACTGCCATAGAAATCCAAGTTACTGGTTTCGCTAGTGCTAAAGAATCGAAGGTGAAAATAAAACAACCAATAAACAGGAGAACCAACCTGTGGCAGTTTTGACGTCCCAAAAAAAATTTGATGAAAGAAAGCCAAATGCGATAATCATGTTAACGTAGAGAAACGCGAAGACGAATTGAATGCCGTAATCATTCTTCAGGAAAAAGTTAAGCCCTGCATACATAGAAATTCAACAGCGTAAAAAATAATAATCGCATTACTTGGACATGTAGAGGAATCACTCTCGATATCTTTGAGGAATTGATTACAAGTTAATGAGAACATATCACCAAGAATAGAAAACCAAGTGCTCACCAACAGCAGAGCCAAACATGATGAAGCAGAACATATAGATCATAAAGAGCACTAAAAAATAGATATACGTAATCGTCCAATACGACAAATCGCCAAGACCGTGCATTTTCATCATCATTCGGAGGTGGTACTGCTTCTCGTATACTAGCGCCGTCAAAACCACCTGCGATATGCCATCCATTATCTATGTTACTGTGGGCTTAGTTTGTAGAGAAACTTCTACAGAAATAGGTGAGATCAATTTTTCCTCTGCTGTGATCAAATATATACAGGCAAAAACTAAGGAAAGAAAAGACTGTGAGACCTCACGACTCTACATCACATGTACAATTTTTTCCATAAATTTTGCCACTGCTAAAATATGTATTTAAGGACTACAATCATACCTTCGATCCTCAAGAAATAAATCTAAATTCAAATTGGTGGGTAATCCCAAAACTAGGATGCTTACTGGGTACAGAAAGCCCAGAACCCACATATAGAAATGTGGACCAAGCAACGATGAAAAATCAAGTCGGAGTTGCATGGAGGGTTTCGGCATCTCCTTCACAAAGAGCAATGGTATTTGTGCTGCTGGACCCATTAAAAATCGCAAGAAAGCTTGTGAAGCCTGCCAATTTCAGGGAGGTATCAGGTCACAAGATAATACCATAATTCAAAGAATAGAAGAAAATATTCACATGCCAACCGATTATCACATGTAACGAAACCTTAAAACTTGTTCCGTGATACATGTAAGATTAGTTTCGGAAGAGGTTTCAATAAGAATACACAGATCGCACCATGTTGAGAGACCGAGAAACTCGAATGAGATTCGGAGGGTCATGGGAAGTCTTGTTGCTGTAAGTCCCATTAAACCAAATTTTCACATCGAAACGAGACGCACTTGTACCCCCGAAGTCATAAGCTGCAATAACTCAATATTAATAACTGTATAGCCAGACTGAGCCCAGAAAATCCACGTTTGTTTTTGCAACAGCATATAGAGAGGAAAATTACCATCGTTGTCGCAACAGACTTACCTACTGGAAATTCATTTATCTGCATAGCAGGATTGCCTTTTCGAAAGCCTCGATAAAGTTCATCATTAATAGAGATAGCACTACCCAAGTATAGCGCCGTAGTCGGTACACACTCAAATTCTGCACATCACCCCAAGATCTCTGTATTACCGCCTGTCACAGAATTTTCGAAGCTTTTAACTACTGGTAGCAGATGGAACTCCGTACAAGTCAATAAACATAGGGTAAATCTGAGATGTCATTTATCCGGTTTGACGAATTCCATATACGAGAGAGAAATTTCATAAATGAACCACGACTATTGAGCAGATTACTTCCACATTTATGGAATTAGGACAAAGTACATCTCTGAAATCCTATCGAAGGCATGTTACGGCGATGAAACAACGACGATGACGTCCTGTACACATCTACTACTAGCTCTTGCACATGAGTGACGAAAGAATAATCAGTGTCTGATATCCGATACGCAACTCGTGTGCGTGATAGTGTCCTTGTTCAAGACAAGCTCTGCTTACGAGCTGAATCAAGAAAAACTGTAAATGCTGTTCTAGGGTGACATTAGTTGGGAAATTAAAAAAACATGCAAATCTGCATGATGGAAACTCTGTTCATATTCAGTCAGATAGGAACCTTTATTTACAGAAACACCAGCCGCATTTGGAATCGACAAGTTGAAAGCCGGAACATAACAAGTATTTTGAAGAAGCTGGATAGGCGTTTGCTTTACAAATGCCGACTCAAGTAAAAGAGTATCCCATGGATGAGCATCTGTACCCTAAACATTCAACCAACCTGGATAGATTCAAACTTCATGACTAAAAAACTGAGATACACAATGCCCAATAGCCCACGAACAGATACAAGCTGCTCTATTTTTCATGAATTAAAAGTTGAAAGATAGGAAAATTGGAAAATACAAGTTACTACAGATTAGAGAGTAATCGCAAGTGGAATTATATGTAAAGTACAGATACCCTAAACTGCTCAATGTGACTTACCGTAACCACTGACGCCAGTGAGTAAAGGGGATCACTGCTATTCAAAAGCCCGTCGCTCAACAAGTAACTTGCCATGGCTGCAACAGAGTTAGAAAGATGTTAGCCACATTATAGGTACACTTGAGATCACCTCATCATCATGAAACAGAAGTTGATTCTTATGAAATGTCTACGAATTAGAGCTCAATCTGAGCTACACTGAGCAATTGATCACAAAGGTCGAAACCCTATGTAGCAATTCAGAGATCTTTGCAGCAGACGAATTCAGTGGATCATTGGCATTGAAAAATCAAAAGTGCAGTGTGCTAACTGATCCTTGTCAGGCATAAAACTTCCACAGTCTGAATAACATTAGGTAAAATTGTCACAAGATCTTGCAGTGCCTTCTTTCCATGGTTAATGTCCATTAGCTACGACTACACCAGCAGAGAAATAGGTAAGATCGTTAATGATCGAAAAAATAAGCCCGATGATCAATCCAACAGCAATGGAGGTTGGGGATGTCTAATTGCAGATAGGTTTTGGAAGTCACTATTCGAAAAGTGGTATCACATCCAAATGATGATTGAAAACGCATGGGCAGGGGAAATGATCTTATTAAACAATTACCTGTATCTGGTTTCTGGTGCTCGCTAAGATATACACTAATAGGATTGAGTTAAGTTTCAAATTTCCATGTATTTAGAAGATCGAAACTTCAAATAGAGAGTGATACATCAAAAAAATACTATACAAGAGCAGCCACCACCAGCCATAACTTGTAATTACGAAGGCCTTATTATCAAAGTTCCCACTGTATCATTTAATGGAGTTCGCAGTTTTTGGCAGAAACATCCAAAATTCTACGTCTACGGAAATCACGCAAGAAGAAGGCACAATAATTAAAAATCTGGAATAGGAAAAGAATAACAGATTTGATGCAATAGTAATGGCAATTTAGTCTGATGACGAGGAAAGTAGCAGAAATAAATTATAAAAGTGTGAAAACAACAGACGAATTCTCGACAGCTTACTATCAGCCAGGGTTTTGTTGGATCCTGTGTAAAGGATGGTACATTCGCAGTTTCCATCGTTCCTGCATGTCGCGTCTTGCAGCTCGGGTGAACCAGCATTTCTGACGGCCCGATACTCTGGCCGAGGCACCTGCAAAATGGCAGGCCAGCCTTGCGGAAACGATACCTCACAGAACTCGACTTGATCTTGGTTTGAATACTCAACCCCGCAATGCTTGGTGCACCCAGGTCTACCAGTGTTCGGCACGCATTTACACCCACACTGGAAATCACTGCCAAGCAGGTAGTTCACGACTACTTGGATAACGACAAGAAGCACGCAAAGGGTAAGTGGGAAGCAAACCATGCAGCTATTGGTCTTCCAGTTCCTTTTCTGTACAATCAAGATAGCGGGACAAGCATGGGTAAGGCCTTAGACAGCTCACATCCCACATCCCACACAAAGGTTGTTATTTTGAGTCAGTATACAGTGAAACAATTATCATGCATATACAATTTAAATCTCATCAAATAGAAATAAATTTGTCAAAGCCTTGCCCCACCATGAAGGCCAGGTTTTCCGTTGCCTATGCAATTGATCAAAGGTACTAAGGATTGAATTGAGTTGCATTTAGCCCTATTTCAAGATTCTTCAAATCAGAAATGAAGAAATGGATTTGTGAAGTAGCGTAGGAAAGCTAATCCTTGAAAGACATTCAAATTTAAAAACATTGCATCTAGACCCAGGAGGTTCTGAAGTCATCAATAATATGGCTGGAAAGGAAGTTTTGTGTTGAATCAGAAGCACTAAACCAGAATGGAACATAATGAGCTGCAGCAGTAACTAGAGCAAACTGAAAGAAACGAATGCACTTACATACCTCTGATATCAGAGAACTTAAAGCTCATGAAAAATTAACACAAAATAAGCAAATTAGGTTTTTCGACAGCACGTGCCAATATCTTCACTTTATGAAGAAGTTAGCAAATGGTGTAGATTAACCTAATTTCCTATTTAGTATGCAGTCGGACAAATTCATCAGAACGGAAGCTGGAAGGCTCAGGATACGAAAACACAATCAAGTTCCAGTAATTGAAAGCAAATTTTCTCTGCAACGGATCCGACTTCACAAAATTCTTCGTCTGTCTATGGAAAGTAGCTCATATGATCACATGTTATACAATTAAATAGCATGCTGGGTCGACGTCACTTTCTGAGCATAGGGTTGTTGACATCAGAGACAATGTATGTTGGCTGTATGTTTAGTACCTGGTAGGTGAGGTTTTTGCGAAAGAGAGCATCAGCTTGGGTGCGGTAGGATGTATAATATAGCGGACCAACACTAATGGTGCTTGATTCCGGGAAATTTTTTTGTCTCTTTGTAGCGGTGCTTGATTCAGGGTCCAAGGCGCATGTATTCGTCATAATTTTCGGTTGTTTATCTGTATTGAGTTCCACGTGCTCGGAAACACAGGGCTTGGACTAATTCGTCTGCTGATGGTGGTGTTTCCTCAGGCGGCTTAATGTCTCCAAACTTTGTCCATCAGTCCTGGTTCCGGGTTCGAAGCAGAAGTTTGTTTATCCGTCGTGATAACTCTTTTCTAATCTAATGTTTGTCGGACCCTACATCCGTAACCTATAAACAATATATTAGGATTTCTTCATTCTTTCCTCGCTCTCTCACCATCTCTCGCCTAGCAAGGACTATATTCTCTCTCGTCTGACGTAGTTGTCAAGATCTCATGGACATACGACAAAAAAATTGCACATAGAATTGATTCAAAGCCGCCTCCCTCTTCTTTCCCCCTCAACAACCCCCCCCTCCTGCGATGTGGGCATTACCACCACAATAAACGATCGTTGCAGCCCTGATGCATCTTTTGTACTGGCAACCCCCTCAATATCATAACCACTCCACAAGTGCGAGCGACAAATAATGTTAATCTCATCTCTGCAAAGTTCTGACGCCATTTGTACAAATTCATTATGGCCCATGCCCTGGCAACTGGAGGAATGGAGCCATGGAGCCAGTGCATGAATCCGAACATCAATTACGAAAAAGATTAACTTGCCAAGATCTTCTTCCGCCATTCTTGTACGCATAGCTGCCATGGTGAAACCGTAATAAGCCTGGATTTGATAACTCTGCCACCGACTATAAACAGGCACTATGTTAATTGAATTGCAAGGGCTATTTAGCATGGTGGACATAAAACCCCGCGCTGCGAAATCTTTCTCCGCTTCATCAGCGTACGATCAAACTCAATCAGAATGTACTGGTACGATTCCTAGGCAGCTACTGCAACAATCTTAAAAATGGTTAAGCAGAGTCTAGAGGTTGCAACTAAACGATAAGACGCCAATTGCAGGCCTCTTTTTACACCACAAAGCACGTTCTTCAACAAGATCTAATAATCCAACCTTGGGCTTCGTGAATGGGTATCAATGTACCAAAATTCTGGAAGACTTAACAGCTTCAATCAGATCATGATGCCAAACAATCCACTGGATAAAGTTAGCTAATGCTTGACAAGCATAATAATTATGTGAGGTGAGCATCTTTAGATCCACTAGTAATGAAGCCTCGGGTCTATGCGGAACGTGGGAAGACGAAGCATAATGCAGGATGAACTTACACGACAACGAGAAGTTCCCAAGGTTGCCCCTATAGTCGGTCCTCAAATCAATCATCTCAATGCCATCTCAGCCTGCAGCATAGTCCATATTGCATTCACTACTGTAACATGCTTCTAAATTTAACTAGATTTTTTGAAGTCAGTCAACATTGGTACCTGATGAACAAACTCTATCAAAGAGCTTCAATTCAAAGAGATGTATATCTAGTGAATGTTCGGGACGACCATGGCAAGTTCACTCAACCACATGGAGAAGTTTAAAAGCCACCTACTAACAGTCCACAATAGGTGTTTTCGAGCGAAAAGGCCTACTTACAGCCAGTGTGGCATGTGACACAATTGACTCTGTCCGTCAAACATTAATGTAGTCACAAAGTGTTTCATGTAACAGTTATCTAACAGGTATATGCAAAGGGTGTGCTCAACATTTCCTACTCGACGCTTTCGCATACATCTACTCTCATTACCAAAGGTGAGTGCAAGTGCAAAAATGACTAGGATAGCGACATCACAGTGTACCCATCTCAAATCAAGAAACCCTCGATTGGGCAATTTACCTTTCTACCTTGCAAACGAACAAAAATGTTGAACTTTCAGAAACTTCGACACTCAAACGACCAGAGAGTCATAAATAAATAAACAAACAACCAAATAGAAGCTTTTAAGGCCACAAAGCCTCACGAAAGACAATTTTCAACTATGATATCGATTAGCGCTTTTTGTGACAAAACACGATGTAAAAAATATGTGTTAAGCTTGAACCCTGTCCTATTATATCATTGTCGAGACTATACAAATAATTTCTAAAAAACAAAAAACAAAAAATAAAAAAATACCGACCATCTAAGATAACCATAGCATTTAACGAATGCAGACAAACCTGAATCCGCACCCAGCTGCCCAGTAGCTCAGAGTAAATTTGAGGTGGTCTGCATCCCATCTTGTTTCAATTCCAAAACCATCATTAACTACCGCTTGTCTGGTCCTGCCAGCATCTCAGTAACATCTGTTGCAGGGTTCTGAGGGGCTTCAGTAAAGAATTAGCCACCATCACCAGTAACTAGCAAATTTACACCGTTACTCGTACCTTTGAAGTTCCTCAGGTTGAAAACGTGTCAAGTGTTTCATCCATGCTCAGCAGAAAGAACTCGCTGTCAAGGTCTTAGCTCCCTAAGCGACGCGCATTTAACATATAGAACCGCCAAAGACGAATCAAAAGAGTCCATCTTCTGTTTCTGTGAATAAAGCCACAGGCACTGGAGGCCCTAAAACAATCCCTGCTTCGTAGGTTCTCACACATACACATTGCGCTGTTACCACGCCAAGGTGCACGACTCAAAACAATGTGGTATGCAAAACCTGCCTCGCACTATGAGCAGTTATGGTCACTGGAAGTTCTCGTCAGCAGCCTTAACATGGGAGATCTCTATATCATGACTCTCATGCTCGTACTTTTGCATCAAAAAGGAAGCTGTGTTCCTTAACTTGGTAGCAAAAGCACGCTCATCACCTATGTAGATCTGCCTAGAACACAATCCGAGAAATTTGATCCATATCGATCTTGCTACCTCGTCAATGGGACCTTCATTACACCACAAGAATATGTCCGCTATTACAACCTGATAATAGAGCTTTCCAAAATCAACGACCTTTCCCTTCAGATTGACATTCTCAAATAATGAAGCCACCTCCCTAGAAGTTGCAAGAAGCCTTTTTCGTCGAGCGAGCTTCGATAGTTCATGTAGAGCCAAACGGCGTTGCATATCCACTGAGCGTTTGCCTAATCCGCTAAACATTCCAAGAAGGAAAACCCCGTTATGAACTCCTTCTGTCAGATCTGAGATACTCACAGTCACGCGTGGACATACTTCTGACCATTCTTCAGGGCTGAAATAGCGGATCAATGCAAGAATACAGTCTTGGACTTTGTCCAATATTCCAAGCAATTCCCGAGCAAGGCTAAGGTGCACCATGATCACCAACAGGGATTCAATATCTACAACTGAGTAATATGGTTGCACATGTCGTGTAACAAAGAGGGTAGCTATGAATTCAAGAATGGAACGCAGGTTCTTCAGAGGTCCCCTCACAATACTCTCACTTGAGCTGTCCATGTGCGTGTCTTCAAAATCTCTTGAATTTCGCATATATCCATACACAGTGAGAGTTTCCTTAATATCCGATAGATTCGGAAGCCATTCCATCTCCAATAGAGCTCCGGAATCCTGCTAACACCAAGGCGGCTAATTTAAACGAATGACACAAAAGATGAACTCCCACTGACATTTTCACAACACGATACATGAAATTGATATAACACTGTGGAAGATGCGAATCACATGGTTTAGCGACCGAAAAAAATCTTAAAGTTTTTTTTTTTTTTTTTTTTTTTTTTTTTTTTCAAATTTTCAATTTTTTTATATACATATATGCACAAAATGATGACAGTTGCATTCTGTTTAAAAATAAAATTTACTAGGGCTTGGGAGAGCGGCAAACCGTGGAGATTCGAGAAACTAAATCGCTCAGGAACTTGCAGCAACATCTTTCCAAAGATTCGTCGATTGAATAGGCCATTTGATGGTATGTCCAACGTAAAGTTGATTCGTCGCAGCGTTTAGTACACAGTGCCCATGCTCGCAGAAACCCGGACCTGGCTAAACCCTCCAAAGAAGTCTCACGTCCTTCCCCCTCTAATGCTTGCAACGCCCGGTGAAGACTAGGAGTACCACCACAGGGCTGACATAGAACATACGCTTAATGAGTTAGAAATCAAAACCAGCAGTGCGACAAGACTCACTATTGTACTAGCAGTATAATTCAACGTACTTCGAGGAAGAAAGTAATCGCAAATACCACGTCGTTAAACATGAATGGAAAGATAAGCCCGGACGTTCCAGGATCGGGGATTGAAAGAGTAAAAGTTCGTAAACATACCATACGATGAAACTAAGTTGTTTGCAACTGGGGAGGGGACAAACACGACATACCGTGGATGGAGGTTCTAACTGCGCACGGAACACTTCTTGACCCCATTCCGGCTCCACTTCCTCTCCGATGCCATTTGTGACCTGCTTCTCTAGTTCCTCGAGTAGCTTAGGGGCGCGAAGATTTTCCTCACCCTCCTCATCTGAATAGGAATATAAATGAGCCTTGGCCTTCAATTTCTGGACCAGCTTGTTGCTTTTGGCTTTAGGTTTTTTCTTGAGGTCATCTTGGACAAGATCATCCAAGGTGACCACCTTTTTCTGCCTCTTCTTCGCATGCACTTCCGGAGGCTCTACCGCCGGCTTGGTAGACGACAGAGGGAGTCTGAGCCAGTCCTCCTCATCCTCTGTTGTAAGGCTCTCCATCTACAAATTGAAAAATGCTTACAGATTTCTCCAAAGAACGCCAACTTCATGCATTAAGAGCCCGCGACTTTACCCCTTCACCCTCGTTTCGCCTCAAATAACAATCTAGTTACATGCTTAAACCCTAAAATCTGAAGCATGGTTCTACGCACAACATCGCCGACAGCACTTTCTTCTACAAACCCAAAAACCTCTCCAACTTTCCGAATCGCGGCCAACGCATGCAACGTCCACAGTGAATCCGATTAAGCAGACCGAAAATTCAAACTGCAGATTGAGTACGTAAAGTTGATTGTGGCACTGCCAAGAGGTCTGAAGAAGTTCCGGATTGGAGACTGGAACACTCTCAGCTGCGAATGGTAAGTTCGAACACGACAATAAGGGGAATCGGAGGCTTCATCCTGACCCGACCTGCCGCGCAACTCTGGTTCAATCTGCACAGTGGCGGGAATGATGGATGATAGTTGAAACCCACAATGCACACACTGCCGGTTAGGAGCCAGTTAGAGGGATGCGACTCAGGCTTCGTAGACTATTCCATGACTCAGAATCCGCCGTCTCTGCTCTCCATACTTGTGGTCCTGTTCGCCTTCTCGTAGTTGACATGATCTGTTCCTAAAGCACGATTCTTGTACTTGAGAGACCTAATACTTGGCGCTTCACGTTGAGAGGACCACATTTCTCATTCATTCAATGCAAGTAGGTCTGTCTGTTGGGTGCTCTGATATTCCCTGCCGTGTACAATGCATCTGTGCTACTCATGCTTCTGTTAGTTGTCATGGATTTTCGCTCTTCGCCAACCCTCTCCTCTGTCCTTCCTCAAATTTCTCGTCTCTCAACTTCACTACCTTCGTGAAGCGTTTCACATGCTCTTGGTTGGAAGATTGAAGGCTTACGTGTGTGTGTTTTTTTTTTTTCTAATTTTTGGCAGTTTCTTTCTTGTGCATGAAAGGGGAGATTAAGATGATGATTTATTCAAGTAATCAGAACTCCTCCGGGGAGTTTGTTGGACTTTTCAGTTTTTGAGGTTTGATTGGATCTCGATTGGATCACTTAAATCGTGATTCTCTACAAACCGTTTGTTAGAATGCTCAGTGGGTAGTCCACCATAGCATTCAGAAAGCACTAGAATTGAGAATCCTCAACTCCCATAGAGTCATTCGCGTTCTTTAAGCTTGTCGCACACCACATAAGAGAACTGTGCCTAATCATCTGCATTGCGCAGGTGATTTTCTGAGTTGTGTATGATAGTGACCAGTTCTTGCATTGCATTTTTTCGGATCTGTACATTGTCAAGACGAGTCAAGCTTGAAAAAGGACGGATTCTCAGAAGGCACCGGGTGTATCAAGCATGAATGGTGGTGTACAGGAACACTACTTAACCAATTTCGGCCCACAAACCCTAAACAGATGGTGAGAAGTTATTCCAATGCCTCACCTGCTTGTGCGTTATCTACTTCGTTGCCCGTTTGTTCTTCGATGGCATTGTGATCTTCCTCATTGCGGGCCTCACTTTGGGTCTCATCATGCATCTGCTTAATGTCTGGAACTCAGGCATCAGACCTCCCAGGTATGCCAAGAGCCATTTCACGTAAAATGAATCCAGACTTTGTGCATATACTAATACATATAAATGACATAACTTGCCGCAGTCAGGGATGGTGTGTCGATTCTTAGCCTCTGGGTGATACAGTTTTGTGAACCCTTGCCAAGGAATTTTAACAGCAAGAATGTTGACGTTAAATCTTGCTGGACACTGGACAAAGAAACATATCAAATAAGTTTTTTCTGCTGATCAAGTTTTACTACGTAATTCAAGTTGTTGGATAGATGTTTTTGAGAGGAATGGGTAGTTTATTTTCTCCCAGAATTACTGTTTTACTGTAGATCCTTTGAATATGCAGAAACTGGACGAAAATGTCGACTATAAACGTGTATTCAATTTGATGGATAACTCTTCTTGAGATGCTGCCAGGAGTATAGAAAAGTTGATTTAGGATACACTTCAAGTTCTACATTGTTTTATACATATGTGTTCAATTAAGAAAGTCAACCTTGATAGATTTATCAACTGATATTAATTTAGTTGTAATTCAAAGAATTTAATAAAATGCACAACATTAGAACATCGACTTAATATATATTCTAATGAATGTATATCATTATTGATTCTTTTAATATTGTAGACAAACAGAGGAGTTTCTTAAAAAGTATGTTAGTAGCAATCAATATATAGAATCTTTATTACAAAATTCTTAGTGGTGGTATTATTTGTCTTTATGTATGTTCAAAAAGTGTCCTAATTTTACTCATAAAACTATATATAAAATTAAAATCTCAATTAAATTAAAATTTTAATTATTTATTAGATTTATTATTATTTTTAATTGTAGCACTTCACTCCAAGATTTTTTTGTAATTAATCTTTGTATTTGAATAGAGATTGTTCTTATATATTGAAGTAAACAACAATCAATTATAAGAAATGGAAACACCATAGTGTTATAATTATGTAGGAATGTTAAAAAACTTAAATAAAAAATATTGTGAGTATATATATATATATATATATATATATATATATTTATATTATAAATAATATATATATATAATAAATAATAATATATTAGCATAAATTTTAAAAAAATATTAGAAGAAGTTAAATACAAAATTGTAATAATAAATAAATGGATATATTTTTTAATATTATGCATAATATCAAATATGTGTTTGTAGTTGATTGGTTGGAATTAGTGCTTAGGATGTCATTGATAATGTTTTGCAAAAGCTACAATATATGATGACAATACAATAAGAAGATAGAATAAAAATGCAACTAGTCATAGTATTGTTGTGAATTTAAGATAGAAGTGGTCATTAAGAAACTTTTTAGGTAATATAAGATCTAATGAAAGAACACATAATTTTCTCTCTTTCTCTTCAAAAATCAGACATTAAGTAGTGAGTCAAATAGGGCAAGCTTATTCATTATGTTTTTTGAAGTATTTTGGCTTAGAAGAAAGAAGTGATGTTTTGTACTTGAATAAATAAAAGAGAAATCATTGGTTCATTGTATCTAAGATACTCAAAAACTCATTTGGGTTATAAAAAAGCTTCTAAGGTATTCATAAACTTGATTGTCTTGTAAAAAAATAGGGTAACAAAGGAAGCATTTATAGCTTAGGTATGTCCTAATATTGCAATTATTATTTTACAATGTACTACAAATGAGCACAACCCAAAGCTAACAATAAGTTAGAAACTTGGCTAATAACTTAGTCATATATTGCACATGTTGGTGGCTTATGGTACAAGTTGACCATGCAAAGTACATATAAAAAACTTGTCTCATAAATTAAAAACATATCTTATAAGTTTGACATATGTCGGAGGTCTTACAGAAGGTCACTATATAACTCATGGTTAAATATTATGTTGTAATATAACTATATGCTTAAAAATAAGAATATAGATTCTATTATAGAAGAGCCTAGTTGAAAGTTATGATAGAAAAATATAGATAAAATAAAAGGAGGTAATAGATTTTTTTAATATTAATATTTTATTTTTATAAAAAAATCTTTTATTTTCTTTGTACAACCAAAAATAAGACAAAAAATATATATAAAAAAGAAATAACATAAGTATCTTTATAAAAGAATAAAAAAATATTTTATAGTAGAAATTATCATAAGAAACCAAGAATTGTTACTTAGAGAAGACCGGTTGTGAATTAAGATTGAAATCAAACTCCAAGGAATAAAACTACACTTTTATGGTAAATTCAAGAGTCATTAGCTGATCAAAGAATAAAATATGAGAGTAAATTTTAAGAAATTTGTTTTATCATTAATTTCAAGTGATTTTGATGCATATTGAGTTTTTGAGAGTTTTTCAAAGTGCAAGATGTATTCAATAATTTTAGATTTTGAAAAATAAAAAAAAGCTTACATATTTGAAAAAATTATAGATATTATAATACAGTTACATGTAGTTTTTTTAAAGTTAATTATTGTACTTATTTTAATTATGTTTTAAAAATTTAAAGTCAATTGAATGGTTAAATTGGAAGATATGAAAGTATCATAGATATATATAGGTATTCTAGTAAATACCTATATAATTAGATAGAAGTAAGTAAAAATAAATAAAAGTAAGTTAATTTTATAATACCTTCTAGAAAAGCTTCTTAGAAGCTTTATAGATGTTGCTTTGACTTTACATGTATTTATAGCTGATTGGTAGATTAGAAACTTAATCAACAAATTAACAACATGTTGGTAGCTTGCGAAACAAGTTAATTATATGGCTTATATATAAAAAACTTGCCTTATCAATTAAGATACTTGTCTTGCGAAATCAACATGTTTTGGAGGTCCTATGGGACATTACTACATAGCTCCTAGTTAAGAGTATATATGGAGGCAAGAGTAAAGCCTTTTTCATTCTTGTTAATGCCTTTCTAGTTCTTAGTCTTGTTTCTAGACTTTATAGTCTTCTTGTTTTTGGAAATAGCCATTTTAGTTCAATAATATATTATCTTTGAATGGCTTTCTATTTCTTTTTAGTATCACAAGAGTATATTGAGGATTTCTTTCTTCAAGATTCACGTCCTTGATAGTTTGACAAGAAAGCTAATTTATTATTTCTATCTTGTTTTAAAAGTGAGTGGATTACTTTACTTCTATTTTTATATTTTGAAGATTGTGGACTACTCATCTTTAAACAAACGATCTTATTTTTTAATAGTGATCTTTTCTTTAAAGAGTTGGATTATCTATCTTTGTAAAAAAATTCATTTGATATTAGAGGTTGCAGATTATCCTCTTTTAATTTAACTTTTTGAATTTTTTTGAGTTGCCTATAGAAGGAAAGTTTATGGAAGCTATTCTTAGCAAAATTAAAAATATATTTGTAACTATTAGAGATCTTCATGAGCTTGTCAATAATTTAAGAATAGAAATCTCAAGTATTTTCAATATGAATCATAGAGGTATTATTTCTACACTTATGAAAAAAGTTAAAAGTTTGCGACAATAAATTATATAATTGAAGAAAGTGAGTAGATCAACCTCACAACCAAATCTAGGGAGTTTTACTTCTATAAGTATGATAGAGACAAGAATTAATATGCCAAAGAAGTTTGATGGAACAAGATCAAAATTTCAAGGATTTTTATAATAAATCAAGCTCTATTTAAGGTTGTATTCCTTCTAATATCTCAATGGATTTACTCAAGTTGCATTCATAGACAAACTCCTATCAAAAAGTGCTCTCTCTAAGTTTGTATCTTTCATGGAAAAGGATTTGCGACTCTTTTATGATTTAAATTCATTCTTAGATGTATTTATGGCCACATTTGAAGAAAGTGATCAAGAAAGAGTAGCAAAGACTAACCTCTTATCTTTGTAGCAAAGATCACAATTAGCCACCATATGCTCTATTCCAAATATAATTTATAATATGGACTAGAATGATAAAGTCCTTATCAATCAAGTTTGATATGGATTGAAGAATAATATTAAAGATTTATTATTAATAATACCAAAGGCAAAATCTTTGAAATAATTTATTGCTCAAGCCATTATATGCAACAATCAATTATTTGAAAGATGTCAAGAATAAAGATTTGGTTGGAGAAGAACAAATCAAATAATGATGGCAGCTCCTAAGTTTTTAGAAACACATTCATTAAAGGCAGAACCAATGCAAATTGATATGATACATTTTAAACTCTTCATAGACTAGGAAAAGATTTGATAACATTAAAAAGACTTATGCTTATATTGTAGAGAAGCTAAACACACTGCTTAACATTGTCTAAAGAAACAAAACAACCACAAAATGAAAAAGATGGTTGCTAAAGAAAATGTGTCAAAAAATGAATTTTTCCAACTACAATAGAAACCATGCAATCAGAATTTGGTTATAACTCCTGGTAATGGTCCTATTCTCTCTTCAAATTCTTCACCTTGTTTTATAATAGAAGTTTATTTAGGACCAAAAAATCACAAAGTCTTAGCTTTGTTAGATTCAGGAGCCTCAACTTGTTTTTTAGACAAAGATTTTGTTAAAAGATAAGAGATATTGTTAGTTAAAAAAACTAAACCTATACATGTAAAAGCCATAGATGGTTGTTTGTTATCTTTTGGATATGTTATGCATGAGACTATTCTTTCAAATATAATAATTAAAGATTATACTAGTATAGTAATATTTAATATAATAAGATCTCGTTCTAATCCAATTAATTTAATATTATCTTGGTTAAAAAATTGTAATCCTCAAATAGATTAGAGTTCTTATAAGCTTAAATTTTTAGATAGTTTAATCCAAAATCTCATTAGTCAAGTAGAAAAATATAAGTCTAATACATCCAAATTCTTACTGGTAGATGCGAGAGGTTTTATATATGCTATAAAAAAAGATTATCTTTTGCTTTATATGCCATGTCCATTTTTAATGGTGAGAAGATATCAAGTGGTATTCTTAGCTAGTATTAAGATTTCTTAGACGTTTTTTTTTTAAAAAATATAAATATTCTTCTAAAGGATTGTCCTTACGATTGTTCAATTAATCTTTATAAAGGAGCTCAACCACCATTTGGACCAATCTACAGCCTATCACAATACAAGTTGGCTACATTTAAGGAGTATATTGATGAGAATTTGGCTAAGAATTTCATACATCATTTTAAATCTCCAATTGGAGGTCCTATCTTATTTGTGAAGAAAAAAGACGGGTCTTTGCAGGCGAGTATGAACTATTGAAGACTTAATAAGATCACCATCAAGAATATGTATCCTCTATCTTTAATTTTAGGACTTTTTGATCAATTGAATCAAACAAAGATCTATACAAAAATAGATATATGAGAAGCATATAATTTGGTAGACATTAAAAAAAGAGATAAATAAAAAATTACATTTTGAATCAGATATGGGCATATTGAATATAATGTCAAGCCTTTAGGATTCATAAATGCACTAGCTATTTTTCAACATCTAATGAATGATATCTTTTGTGAGTTTTTTGATAATTTTGTTATCTATTATTTGGAAAATATTTTAATCTACTCTAAAAATACAAAAGAGCATGAAGTTTATATTTGTCATGTATTACAAAAACTTAGAGATG